TTTCATCTAACTGTTGAATGCCTTAGATGACTATAAACATAGTTCATTTGGAGTTTGGTGGAAGTCTGGAGTTTTTTCCTTAAGCTTTTGCATCCTTTTCAGAAGCAATGAAAGTAGTGAAATGACACCTGTTTTACTGAGAATTAACACCAGCAGACCTGAGCTATCTCTAGTGCTCTGATCTGTTATCGTCAGTCAGTGGCATTTGAGACAAATCGCTCTTTTAAACAAAATAACACTTCTTGCTTATTTTCATTTTGTAGACACAGTGAAGCATACACATGGACCAACCCTACTTGCTGCGTGCATAACATCATCGTGGGCAAACTCTGGATTGAGCAGTACGGCAATGTGGAAATCACGAACCACAAGTAAGACACTTCAAAGTAGTTCTCTGTCGATTTGATTGTCATCATCCGGTATCAGTGGACTTCATTTAAAAAAAAAAGCTCCTCTAGATAAATTCAGAACAGGCCGTATAACTATTAAGTGAATAGAAGCCCATTCATTTAATGAGCAGAGTTTATTAAAGTTTCTGATGAGTGAAGACTAGGTGAACTCTGGGCTTCCCTAACCTCTGTGAATCTTAATTCCAACCTCAGCTAATTTGCAGATATTGCTTAGTTTGTATTATTCACAGAGCAGGAGTGGGGCAGGAGGAACATAAACGTTAAACAGAGTTGGGTTCAAAACCTACTTTGTGACTTCAGGCAAGTGTCTTGGTCAGCCTGGGCTGCAGTAACAGAATGCCACAGCGGAATTAAACAGCGGGCGTTGATCTCACACAGTCGTGGAGGCCGGGAAGTCCTAAGTCAGTGGGGCGGCAGATTTGACATCTGAGGAAGCCCTCTTCCTGATGTGCGGATGGCTACCTTCTTTGTATCGTCACATGGCAGAGAGTGGGGGAGATCATTTTTTGTGTCTCCTCCTTTAAGGGCACTGATCTTATTCCTAAGGGCTCCCCCTCATGACCTAATAACCCCCCCAGACACCATCACAGTGGGGGGCAGGGCTTCAACATGTGCGTGTGGGGAGGCCACAGGTGGTCGTTCCACGGCAACCAGTCACTTATTCTTCAGGAACTTTGTTTACTTTTTTTTTATCGTGGGCCCAGTAGCAAAATGCTGCTAGAAAGGTTGTTTGTCATAATCATTCTCGACTGTTTCTGCTATGGTGGATGGTAATCTGAGCTTCCTATCTCCTTCTTAGGACTGGGGACAAATGTGTGTTGAATTTCAAGCCATGTGGCCTTTTTGGTAAGGAATTACACAAAGTCGAAGGCTACATTCAAGATAAAAGGTAAAGTGTTTATTTTAAACGGTGACTCGTATAGGTCAACATTTATTTATTTATAAGTAAAATGTCAGTATTAAAATCTGCTATAACCTAGGAAACAGGCATTTCAATAAGTTGGAAAATCTCCTCTAAGGAAATACCTATTTCTCTAAAGAATCTGATTCATAAGCCTCTTTATAATAATAATCATTATAGCAAAATGCAGGTTTACTTGTTGGCTAAGCATCAGTGTCTCTTGACAGCAAAAAGAAGCTCTGTGCCCTGTATGGGAAGTGGACTGAGTGTTTATACAGTGTCGACCCCGCCACTTTCGACGCTTTCAGAAAAAATGACAAGAAAACTCCTGAAGAGAAGAAGAACAGCAAACAGGTGACCGTCCATCAGGTGGCGTCAGAGGGGCCCCCGGGCTCTCAAACCTGTGCTCATCCCTTTGCAGGTGGCCTGTTCTGGGGTCACAAGTGGACCTTTTTTTTCCTTTTTGCTAATTCATGTAACTTTTCTCCATGAGTTTTTTTAATGAGGTATAATCGGCATACATCTTTAAGTCTTTTGAACAATTCGTCTGCCTTAGCAGCGGATTTCTGACGGTCCCGCATAGAGGTGGGCCAGTACTGCTCCCGTAACTGTGCGGCGCTGCAGGGCTTGGAGCACATTCACATCGGGAAGTTGGAGTCCATCCCAGTGCGACGTTTTCTTTTTCTGTCTGTGGATGTTAGAAATTGAGATCCATTGAATATTTTAAAATATTAAAAATTACCTCCTACATTTCCATGCTAATTAGCATTTTGGTTGCCCTCTCTCATGTCTCTAAATCACTGAAGTTAAACCTTAAGGGCGTCATCCCAGGATGGCTGTCCTGTTATTAAACTTTGTTTCTGTAGGACAGGTAACGTCCAACAGGATTTCCCGTGGGTGAGGCCCGGAGCTTCCTGTCCCAGGGCCTGAGAAGGCTCTGAGGTTCGCCAGACTCCTGCCCTTTTCCCCCCAGGCAAGAGAGCTGAGAGCCCCAGCAGACTGCACCTGTTGGGACAGGAGATATTCGAGGACCAATCACTTCCAGGGGCCGGTGCTGTGGTTCAGGGCACAAGCGCTGGGTCGGAGCACTGTCTCCTCATTTATGAGCAGTACCTCCTCTCTGCTCCAGTGCCTTCGTTTGTAAAATGGGAACAGTAATAGGACCTACTTGGCAAACGAGTTGATAAATGTAGAGGGCTCTGAATAGTACCCGGTTAGTAAAAATGACTGAAGTCCTTTCCGCTCAAAGAATGTTCGTGCGCTGGTGACCTGAGCCTCACCTGAGAGCCCGCAGGCTCCCAGCCTCACTTCAGACCACCCGAATCTCAGCCCCAGGGGCTCTGCCGGCAGTTCCGCATGTGAAAGTTTAAGAAACCCGAATATTCCTTGAAAACAGAAGGCATATTTATGAGCAACTTCCTGTGTAAATCGAGTTAACCATGGTCCCGAGGGGAAAGGAGTTTTACGAAATGACCAGAGCGTGCTGCTTTCCTGTTGCTCTGGCCTCCTCCTTGCCCCTCCTACCCCCGCCATCTCTCTGTGCACAGTGCTGCTGTCCGCCTGGCCTCCAAGGCCCCCCTCCTCTTTTCCTTCCTGGGAGGGGCACGGACACTTCCCGCAGCTGTTAGAGCCATGGCGCCGTAGAAGAACATGTTCCAGGGTCCCGGCAGCCCTGACACAGAGTCCCTGGCAGCAGCTCCAGCCAGCACAAGGCAGCTTGGCAAGTGCACCCTCACGGACACACGTGCTGTCCACCCTCCCTCTGTAAAGGTGGAGTGGCGGCAGCAAAGGGCACTGGCGAAATTCCCCCAAATTCCCTCCGCGCCCCCTAAGCCCCTGGTCAGTCTTTGTGGAAGAGCGGCCTTACCCACCGGAGGGAGAAATTCTTCTCACACATCCGCTCCTTCCTTGTCCTGTCTCTCCTTCCTGGGTGCATGTAGCTGCCCTAGATTGCCGATGTTCTTGGGCCTAGGCAGGTGCGTGGGAAGGTCGTTAGCATCAGTGTTGTCACCTCCTTGCTGCTGTTTTCAACTGGATATTCACTGAACGTTCTAGATTTGGCGACTGTGTGACATCGGGAGTATTAACCTTCCAAAGGCTTGAATTCTGTATAAAGTCTTATAAAACTGTGGTAATAATATATCCTCCCAGGTTTATTATGTAAAGACTGAAAATACAGAGAGAGCTCCTAGTATAGCTCTGGCCTCTGGAGCGGGGGCGGTAGCCGGAAACAGTGTTGGCTGCCTTTTTAGCCTAACATATTTTTAATTTTTTTTATCAAATGTTTTTAGTATCCCTGCTAGTTTTGGTAATTGATCATTTTGTTAACTGCCCCAAGAACTTAACTTTTTCTTGAATTATCCCAGTGTAGCGATACATACTCAGATGAGTTATTCTGTCTTTTTTAAATGCTTTAAAAACATTAAAACACTAGTAAAAAGTGACGACGGTGATAACACCTTGAATGCAGATACCACTAGGTGTTACAACACATCAAGCTCTTGAGACTCATGACACTTCAGCCGTCCTGGCCCCTCGGACCCTGCACCGTGTTCCAGGGGAGGGAGACGGGGCGAGGAAGCCCCCACACTGCTGCCCCCAGGCGGTCAGCGTTCCTGTGCTGTGCAGTGCATAATCGGCGACCTCCCAGTCGGAAGTATATCTTTTAAAAACGTTTTAATTTTGTTCCTCCGTTGGTTCTCCCAGGTGAGCACGTCTGAGGAGTCGGATGAAATGCCGATGCCAGATTCCGAAAGTGTGTCTGTGATCCCCGGAAGCGTGCTCCTGTGGCGGATAGCCCCGCGGCCTCCCAACTCTGCCCAGGTGGGGCTGGGCTCCGGAGAGCCGTCTCGTCTTCCGTTCAGCTCTGAGGGTGCTCTTTCCGTGCGGGTGCAGGGCCAGTCCTGGCAGGATGTAGAAGAGGTTAGGGTGTCATTGAAATGCCCCCCGCTGTCCCTCTGCTCGCCCCTGGGTGCAGTTTCCCTTCTCACCCTGAGACCCAGTGCATTTGTGCTGTTCCTCTGGTGCCTGGCCAGGGCGATGTGCTGGATGGGACTCCTGGGGGCTGATTTAGCCATCACGTAGGAGAATGCTGGCTCTCGTTAATTGCAAGGTGATGCAGCCTCCTGGACAGAGCAAGTAATGATTTTAATGAGCAAAGCAGAGAGAATGTTGACTTTGCTCATAGTCCTACATAAAGTTGACAGCAGTATCAGATATTCATTTTGTGAGGCCTGCTTTAAGATTTCTTTGAGACCAATACCATAGGTGGTGAAAACATTTAGATACAAGGTCTGCAAAAGGCTACAATTATTGCCATAAATGGGAAGGGTTCATTGTCAGATCAAACCTATTTTACCTTCCTCCTTTCCATTTTGCATTATGCCTTGGTGTATGTTAATTTGAACATTTCGCTTCCTTTTCAGATGTACAATTTCACTAGCTTTGCAATGGTTTTGAATGAGATAGACAAGGAAATGGAGCGCGTGATCCCTAAGACAGACTGCAGGTTGCGGCCCGACATCCGAGCCATGGAAAATGGAGAAATTGGTAAGTAGCATCTGACGGCGCTGCCGGTGAAGGGTCGTTTTGCGGGGATGATGGTTTGTTTTATTCCTGGTGCTTGTTAGCGTCTGTGCAGCACAAGCATTTTAGTCTCTCCCAGAATCGTGTGGGTTTTTTGTTGGCGTTGTTATGAGAAAGGCGAGTGGCAGCTGCAGGAATCAGCTGCCCTGCACTGTCGGTCTGTCCAGCTTGCTCTCACATGCTGCAGCCGGAGACCCCGTGGCTGCACCCAGCCACAGTCCTTGTTATCCTGCAGCCTTAGACATTTTTCATTAAAATTTGATTCGTTTGGTAACTTGTGTTTTAAATTTGGAAATCCGAGATATGCTTTCTTAGCTCCTATTGTGGTAACTTGTGTTTTAAATTTGGAAATCCGAGATATGCTTTCTTAGCTCCTATTGATTACTTCAGTGATCTTCCTTGATATTTGAATAGACTTATGTAACCAGAGGTATATATTTTGTGTCTTTTATTTTCTCAAATGTTTTAATTACAGTTGACATTCAATATTATGTTAGTTTCAGGTGTATAGCACAGTGATTAGACATTTATGTAACTTGCCAAGTGATCCCCCGATAAGCCTAGTACCCCTCTGACACCACACACAGTTATTACAGTGTTACTGACTGTTCCCCGTGCTGCACTTTACATTCCACGACTGTTCTGTAACCACCACTCTGTACTTCTCCATCCCTTCCCGTTACACCCGTCTCCCAACCACCCCCGCCCGCCCCCACCGGCAACTGATGGTGACATCTCTTAACTGTCAGAGAGGAAGTTGAAAAAAAATCATCTTTATCAACTTTGAAGTCAGTTTTAATTATTTTACTATATATTTGAGAATGAAATATCAAACAGCCATGCCTCCCCTTGGTCAATGAACACTTCCTTAATCTCGTAGTGTTTACTTTCTTCTAGTTCAGGGGTCCTCAAAAGGGGGGCAGTTCCCCCCAGGGACATGTGGCCATGTCTGGAGACTTTGGTTGTCACATCTGGGAACTACAGCTGGCGTAGTGGGGTGGGGTGGAGGCCTGGGCTGCAGCTCAGTGTCCGGCGGTGCCCAGGACAGCCCCCCATAGAGAGTCATCTGGTCCGGTGTGTCAGCAGGGCCAGCGTCGAGAAGCCCTGTTCTAACTAAACCCTCTGAGGCTCGCTCTGAATTGTCAGTGAGACAGTGCGACGGCATTTTGGAAAATTGTATGAATTGTGAAGGGAATGTGAAGCTCTGTGAGGTCTCAGTAAGAATTTGGAAAAATTCACATGTATTCAGTTTCTCCGCCCAGATTTTCATTGAAGCATTTTGATGACATCATTTTTGTCTTTAAGAATAAGGAGGTCGCTGTTGGTCAGTGCAGATGTTGTTAAGGCATCGGCTGTGGAAAGAGATGACAGGTCCTGAGCGCCAGCTCTGCCTCCCACTAACGGGTGTGTGAGAATTCTGCCTCGGTGTTCGACCACGGCGTCCGCCTCCCAGTACCGTGGAGGCCATGCTGACCCACTGGGTGGCACCTCTCCATAAAGTTAGGCTTAGTGCTGTGCCTGCGTTCTCTTCTTGGACAATAACTGTAACTGCTGTCCATTGATGTTCTTATTTTAGATCAAGCTAGTGAAGAAAAAAAACGACTCGAGGAAAAACAAAGAGCAGCTCGCAAAAACAGGTCCAAGTCGGAAGAGGACTGGAAGACGAGGTGCGTGCTTTTTCAGACCCGCAGCCGAGCCCTCGGGCGCTGCGGTGTGGGGCGGGCAGGGCCGTCAGATCCGAGGGTGAACTTTGAGCGACGGCCTCACTGAGCCCTGCCACGTGATTCCTGGGCCTGAGGGAAAAGTTCTTTCCACTGAGTATTCTGGCTGAGAAAGTTGTATGCATGACAAAGAAAAGGGAGTATTTGGAAGTTAAGGTTAAAATATTCCCACACACTTATCACAGGTAAATGCCAACTTACCTGTGAAAACGATCTTGCTTCCTTGTCCAGCAAAGCCCTGCCCTTCTCCTATGTCAGAGGAGAAGTGAAATCCAGAATGACAAGTTCTGGCATGGAAATAGGCTCAGAGCCATTCGTTTGTACGTGTGTGTGGAAATCACAAGGCCGTCGGCTTAGGCATATACCACGCACTTCTTTGTGCGTGGAGGGCGTGTGATGATAGTGGCGGAGGTTTCCAGACGTGAATGCTCAGAAGTAGGAGAACCAGAGGGGAAAGAAACCCTAGTCCTCTGCGTCAGACCATCGAGTCCAAGGTGTTCACACTCTGCCCGAGAACAAGCGAGCCCCGAAGGAGGCTTGCAGACGCGGTCTTTAGAGAACCGTGCTCACTCACGTGTGAGCAAGAAAACAGCCTTTACTGTTAAATCTGCCAGTCTGTGAAATGTCCCATTGAGACTTCTTCCTCCTCTCCGTTTTGTATAGAGGAAATCCTGTGGCTCAGGGCCTCAAGCCTGGTTAAACTTTAAACTTATTTTTGGTCACCCTGATTTTGATTGGCCAGCTTTTCTGAAGTGCTTGCCTTTCCTAGGTTTGATGACAAAGTGCTGCTTCTACTGCTGAGAGTTTTGAGACCTAGGAGAGTATATGACCCTCTACTTCATATTGGACACAAAGTCTGTGGATTTGACCAAACAGGGGTTCCTTAATATATTTCTAGTTTGGTTACCAGTGTCTGAATAATATACAGTGTGATCATCTATACTTTTTCTAAGTAGGGACAAGTCCCAAAAGCTAAATTATTTGTGTAATAACATTTCTGAAAATTTGGTCTAATGGCATTTACTCTGTGATACTTCGAGGGATTAGCCTAGTCGGAAGCATTTTTTTTTCTCTCAGGGTTTTTAGATCTTCTGTAGTGGTAATAGTAACACCTGAGACTTTACCAAACGAATCCAACCTCACACTGAATTGTACATATTTTTAGAAGCAATTTATTTGGAAAAAATGGCAAACACATTTAAGACTATTTTCCATAAGTGCTACTCTGAAAACAAAACCATATTTAGAAAGTGTTGCCCAAATTTAATGGTGAACCTTTCGGGCAAGTCGGTTTGCGTTTTCATCACCTCAGAAAGCTGGGACTCTGGGAGATGGGTCACATATTTTTTCAAGGGCAAGGAAGTGATTAGTGCAGCTCCTTCTAGAATTAAAGATGATGTTAAAAAGTGAGGCTATAACCCAAGAATCCATATTAGCATGGAGAAAATTGAAACCCAGAAAATTTGGACTAGATGAATTTCAGTGCATTATCAAGTATTAGCTTGGACAAGTCATTCAACCTAACATTCAGCTGTTTTGTAAAACGGAGCTTTAAGGGTGTGGGGTTCACTCTGAACTGGGCACCTTACACCTTACACATTCCTGTAGGTGTGCTGCCAAAGTTAATTTTCCCCCAGTTCCTTATTTCTGCCTTTAAAAGGATGACTTCTAGTGGAAGGAATGGGACTAGAGGATGGACAGTTAGACACACACACACTGGTTCTAACAGCCTTGCTAGACGGAAGGCCCTAATTCTGTTAAGGGACATTTCTGAATGCCGTGGAGAACCTGTACCCTTTTGCATGGCATCTTCCCATGTTTTGGAACATTATTCTACCTGCGTGCTCCCCAAAGGGAAAACTGTAACTTCACACTTCGGAAACCCCGGACTCACAGACTGGGCTGCTGCACCAGGGAAGCACTGCAAGCCGGCAAAGCGCAGGTGCCCTGTGAGTCCCGATCCCCCGTCAGTCTTGTCTTTTCTCTTCGAACAGGTGGTTCCATCAAGGTCCCAACCCCCACAATGGAGCACAGGACTGGCTTTACTCGGGCAGCTACTGGGACAGAAACTACTTGAATTTGCCTGACATTTATTAAAATGCGGACAAGTCAGGTTTGGCTAACCCACAAATAAGTCGTAAACCTATGTTTTTAATTTTTTTCCTTTGGTTTCTACTCATCTTTAAAAAAGAAAAAGAAAAACCCTGCTCATAACTCGCATTTCACCCAACAAAGTAGGGCATAAGGTGATATTGTTGGTGACAGTCTTACAGAAAATGGGTAATTTTGCTATCCAAACATACTTATTTGGAATACTATTTTATATAGAGGTAATAGAACTGCTGGAGAATATGCTTTTTTATGGTTGCTGTTGCCAGAATTACTGAAGGTTTATACCTAAATATAACTTTAGCTTTATGAAATTATACAGTAATCCCAAATCAAGTTATTTTGAGTATTTTATGCTGCCATGCTTGAATGTTTTAGATGTAACTCTGAAATGTTTAGAATCCTCCTGTACAGTGTTTGTGCTCTAATGCAGAGGTTATGTCATTTTGTAAAGACTCTATTGATAAGATGGCTTTCTTCTAACCCTCTCAATTTTCCCCCTCCAAACAGAAAAAAATGCCAGAGTAGTCAGAATAGGTGTTCCTGATTTGAAAATTCTAAAGAATTAAACTGAAAAAGTATTTCACTTTCTTTAATGCTCTGAATTTGCTTTTACGATTCTGTAATCCGTCATTAGAATTAAGAGGTGTTTAATTATTCATGTTTGAATTGAATATATGTATAAAATCTACCAGTTCACCAAAATCCTAGAAATAGACTCTACTCACCAGTACTATTATTACATAATGACAAACCTTTTTACATGCTTCACCTTCCCGTGGCCAGTGCCACCAGACAAATTAAGTTGCACTCATGTATTGTAACTGTCAAACTGTGTAGCAGGAGGGCTTGCGCATTTCAAGTTGGCAGGACCCCTGTGTACTTAAACTATGTATGGAGACCTACTGTACAGTAGCGTTGCCCCTTTAATTGGGGTACATTATTAATCTTATGTATTTATCCACCCAACCCTAGACAGAGATACTGCTCCAAGGGGCCTTAGGTAGCTGCCAGTAAATTATTTTCATTGCTCTCCTGAAGTTAACAAGTGTTATAATGAAATAATCTATCTGATACTAAATAAAGGCTTTAGAATATTACAAGTGTGATTTCTGCTAACCTTTCAGATGTGCTAACGTTGCCGCTTCACACCATCCTAAGTTATCAATAACGTCCTCACAGAGCAGCGCGGCCGTGCAGCCCCTCCCTGGGGCCGGAATCTGCTGGCCAGCAGGCAGAGTGGTGGCAGGCAGTCGGCGCTTACCTAGTAAGCACTCTGGGGAAATAGAGTGTCATAGCAAGGCGCTGCTCTTCCTGTGGTGGGAATGCCTGGCTAGAAAAGCTAGAGAATCATGGTTTTTGAACAATGTGTACATAAGTTGGAAAATACTATGATGTCACAAGTCTGAAAAAAAAATCAAGGGTTGTGTGGTTTGTATTCCTCCCAAATTACAAAACAAGCAAGAATACAAGGTTCTTTGCTTGCATGCAGTTTATTGATCCATTATGCTTGGTGGCAGACTTGATCTTAAAAGTTGACTCAGGCAGCCTCATTTCCAGCATCTGTTAGAAATAATGTAAGTGGTGAATTATTTGTGGAACTGAGCATGTGAAATGAGTAGATCAGAAATGCAAGGTTTGCCCTCCTGCTCTGTTACTAAGCTCTTAACCTAATCAGTTACCTGTGCATTTGCATGAAAGTATCCTAGCAGTTCATGCTGAAAACAGCCATTTGGACAAGTCCCCTAAAGTCTAAAAAGGGGATAACAAATAGCCTCAGCATATTTTGATAACTGAGAGCTAGCACCTTAAATATAACTACTTAACCTGTGAATGAAATCTAGCTCTTCTCGGATGTTCAGCTTGCAAGTCCCAGATTATTTTAAGTGAACTGACTGGTGTATAGTTATACACCAGTATTATATACTCTGAACTCATCTCCCTGCTTCTAATGACCTCCTGATTTGTAACCTTTTCCCACAAAGCAGCGAGCAGGATCTGCGCGTCTTCCGGTCTCCAGCTTCCTCTTATCGACCCTCCCCCTCATCTCACCCTGCCCGCCAAGTCTCCAGCTCCCACGCTCTGTCCCGGGCTCTTTGCAAGGCCGGCCCCTGGCACTGAGGAACCAGTTCACGTCTGAGCCTGCTGCAGGCGGCCTGTTTCCGCACCGCGTTTCTAACCAAGGTGCAGATGCATCGTGACTCACTGTGTGGTCCTCTCCTCCACTAAGGCACAGGCCTCACGGTTTGTACACGTGGGGAGGAGGGAGCAGCACTGGCTTTAAGTCCTAGATGAAAAACATTTTTAAATGGCAGCGAAAATCTCTCTTATCTACATACAATTGCACTTTGTCTCTTTAGCTCTTGAATGTGTTTCCACCTGTCCATTCTGCTGGAAATAGTCACTCTTAAGAGGGAAGGAACTCTTGCTACACTGACTGGATATTCCATACAGACCCTCTCATCGCACACCCTGCTGTCCAGGTGTCCCCAGCTCTAGGGCTTGTCTCTGCCCCGCCCACCCCTTAAACATGCCAGATTGTGAATTCCCATATAAGAGTGTCCCTTTAAAAAAAAATCCACCCCCTTTTATCGTCTCCCATGGAGGCTACACACAGGAGCAGGGATTCAGAGGTGGCTGGGTTCATGGGTCCTCGTGTCGGGCACCAACACGAGGCACCAATGGGAGTCATTACGGTGTGGTCACGTGTGCATGTTAGTAACCGGTGGGAAGGAAGCTGGAGACAGTCTCCTAGATTAGACTGTACTCCAACTCACTGCACGTCTCAATGCAATTCAATTTTTAAAAAATCTCAGTCGCCAGGTCAAAACAAATCAAAATATTGAAAACACAAGTGCGTTAAAGCCCACATACGGTAGGAAAATTTACCTGCCAGTTTAAGTTTCTGCTCTGCGAACACTGGCAGAAGTCACGGTTATTTCTCCAGCAATACCGTAACTTCCAAAGGGAGTACGTTTGTCACCAGATCCTGAACCTTTTTTGGCTACTTCTTCTACTGGGAAAGCAACAGAGAAAAAAACTGGGCTTTGTGGCCGGGGGCCATCCTGTCCACTTGTGGGCGGACTGACATTCTGGGGGGCTGGGAGGTGTTTCTGGAATTTCTGATCTGCAGGAACAGCAATAGGCACTTGGACTGCAGCGTATCTCTTCAAGGTGTCTGACTGGGGGGCAGCGGGTCCAGGAGGAGGTTTCCAGTCCTGTGCTTCCTGGACATTTGAGCCTACTAAAATAAAAGGTGGGGCACTGGTCTTCTTGCTGTCGTCCATCATCACATACGTTGGAGAAGTGACTTTCGGTGCATTCTGTAGATCCTTAGGATTAGATAAATAGAGGGTTGCTTGGGGGAAAGGCCCAGGTGCAGGTGGCGGTAATGGGCGACTTTGTTGATTCATATCAGTTAGACAGTAAAGGGTCCACATGTTAGAATATGGTGGTGGTTGTCCTGCTTCGCTTGTTGCTATTGCTATAAAAAAAAAATTTGCAGGCGTTAAAGGTTTGGTCTCTGTATCAGGCGCTATGCACAGAAATATCTTTGTAAATGTTTTTACATATAAACAAAGAGCTGTAGTAATGTGTGCCATAAAGCTTGCTATAGAGAGGGCTGAGTGAATTGTTTGGCAGCATGAGAGAGGTTCTCCACAGCTGGAAGATGAGGCAGTGCTGTGACAGTGCGTGGCAGGGACACCAATTGTGGCTGAAGACGCAACCTCATTCCAAGTTGCTGTTTCCAGATACTTGCACTGTGTGTGCAGCCATTGAAAAAAGGGTTTATGCCACATCTGCATAGCAATTTTCATCTCGACTAAAAATGTCTGCTCTAGGTATCACCTTTTGATCACATGATCAAATATCGTTGGCTCTTCACAGGCACTGTTGTCTCCCGTTAGTTTGTCATCACCCGATCTAACACTCAGAATCCCAGGGCAGCACCCCTTTCAAGCAGAAATCCCACGTCCTAGGGGGGCAGTAAGAGTCTGGGTGGTCCCCTGGAGTCCTTTAGTAAAGAGATATCTAGGCATGCCATTCATCTACTTCCACCACGGACTCTCTAAGGTCAAGGTTGGTTTGCCTAATGGAGACAGGACTGCCCTGGAGCACTGAGCCCTGGATGATGGGGTTGGCGGGAGGCTCCTGATGGAAGAGCTGCACTGTGCCCGGACGTGCGGGGCTCACCCAGGAACCCTGGGCCGTTGTCCGTCCCTGGGGCGGGGGCTCCTCCCCGGAAAGGAAATACCACCGATATGCACATGATTAAGCTGGTGTGTTCTCAATAGCTTCAGATACTCTGATATTTCTTGAAGCTACTTAAAAAATACACATAAGCCAAGCCTTCAGTGTTTTTGCTAAATAACCTCTCAGTGCTTACACAAGAAACAGTTGAGCAGCTGAGAACAGTAACTGGTCAGGGCAGCGCTGCTACAGCCACAGGTGCGATGCCAGTCCCAACGCGCCACGCCCAGCCCGGCCTCTGCCTGTGCAGCTGTGCAGGGTCCCTGTCACCACTGCCAGACAGAATTTCATCTCTATGAACACCTGCTCTGCAAACATTTCTTTATCATTGTGGCTCTGTTAAGAGTCAACATTGAGAGATTCTGCAAGAGGAATGGGAGAGGCTGGCCCATGCATGTCCCTGAAGGGAAAAGGGCCCCTGCACTTGTCTGGGGGGAGGGGCAGGAGGGTGGCACACCAAGGGCCATCATTAGACAGAGATGGAGGTCAAACCAGGTCTGTGTCACAGGAAAGCAGTGGCGATAGTTCACAGCAGTCAGGAAAGCAGCCTGGTGTGGGTGCTTGCGAGGAACCCAGTGGGAGGAAGCCAGTCATTTTTACTGTGCCCACATTGCTCAAGTGCCCGCCTGACCTTCCTGCTGCCACTACCGCCCTGCTCCCCTGTGCGACAGCACTCCGGCCCGACCTGCCCTCTCCATCCGGCCCCGAAGCTGCTCCCTGCACTGCGGGACACTCCCAGGCAAGAAGTCGGTGCTTGATCCAGCTCCCCAGACCCGGTTGCAGAGCTCTCCTGACTCGGGGCGAAAGCAGGTCGAACACACCACCATTTCTTTCACTTTTTAAATGCCACGGCCTAGGTAAATGCATTTGCTGCAGTTTGATTTTTACATCCACAAGTGAGACACCTCTACCTAACACCTCCTAAATTACAGTCTTGCAGTAGGAGTATTCAGATCACATGACATATTTGTACTTGGCAGGCTCTGGTGTTTCTCACTACATAGTGTGCTCAGAAGAAAACCATGCAAGTGGCTTGATGCTAGATGGCCACGCCTGGAGCCCAGATTTTGATGTCACTTTAAAGTCACTCATAAGAGTAAAATCTCAAATGCAACAAAGCCTTTAAATAGGTCTGGCATTTTAAAAACTATTAAAAATAAAGACTTTGACCAACCTGCAGGGAGCCTACCTAGATGGTTACCTGAAATACAGATGTTACCTGAAATGTAATTTTTAACGGTATAAGTATCTAATTTCCTTACCTGGTTCCATCAAACCTTGTTCAGGTGCTGCTTCCCACTCTGGTTCGATTTCTGGTTCAGTAAGCCCTTCTGGCACAGGCTGGGGGGGGCCACTAGATGATCTTACGGATGCACCTGACTGCACAGCTTGTACAGCTTCCCCAGAGACCTCAGCTTTGGGCTCCGTCTCCTGGGATTCAGGGTTTTCCACCTGCCCAGGGACTAGCGCAATGATCTCCACTTCAAGGTGCAGAGATTTTTCAGAGCCCACTGCTTTGGTAGAGCCCTCTACATCCATGGATTGCGCAAGCAGACCTTTCAAAGAGGTTTCAGAGATCATAATGGTTGCTTCTGCCTCCATATGTACTGAGGGGTATTTTGCATCCTCCAACTGTGCAAATTTTGCAGAACCTACAGACTTTTCAGACACGCCTGAGGCTGTCCTGTTTACAAGAGTGGGACTACCTGACGGTGACAGCTCAGTCTCTCCGAGACTAGCAGCGCGAGCAGGGAAAGCTATTTGTTCTGGTGGTGGCTGCACATAAACAACTCCTTCAATCACAGGCTCATCTTTATAGATGGATGACATGTGAATGGTGGATGTAACCCCAGGACCAGCCTGCAAAGGGGCCGTAGGAGCTGCATCACAAGCAGGAGGTTCTTGTTCATCCTGCAAGGGGGGTGAGGAAGCCGTTGATAGTTCAGCCTTACTGTCTTTAGGTGGAGAGCCCAAACCTACAAGGACAGAGGAGTGGCTCGCCCCCTGCACCGCCACCCTCTCTCCAGAACACACAACAGAAGCAGCCACCGCGTTATCTTCAGCAGCCTCTGAACTCAGCACCTCGTTGGCAATGACGGGCATACTCGTTGCCACGTCCACCATTAAAACGTCAGACTGATCAGAATGAATAGATGAAACTTTACCTAACATCTGAGCAGCAAACTGAGCTGGGTCGGCTGGGACATAGGCAAACTCTGGTGAAACAGCTGCCGGACATGGTGATGAGGGTGGGGTAGGAATCTCAGGGCTGCATGACTTTGAAGGACCACGAACTGCTTTAGCTCTCTCCTCAGGATCAGCATAAACTGATGGGAACTGCGTGGTTTTGTTGCTATAGAGTGATCCAGTGATACTGTCCTCCTCTGTGTTTGTCGATTTTTCCATCTGTGTAGGTTCTTGGGAAACTATAGATGATCCTCTTGATTCTTTTGCATGTTCTGGTTTCCTCTCTTGGGACGTTCCTTCAGACCACTGCTCAACTAAAACAACAGCCAGGTGATTAATACGCATATTATCCAAATAAAGAATTCGAAAGCAAGCAGCAACAGGTTCAATACTCGTGTCAATACCGTATACACAAGTACAGAAAAGTTTTGCTTTATCTTCAACATCTGTGATTTAATGTGGGTCATGAAACTTTCTCATTCTTTCCACTTAAAAGATGCCTCCCTCAAGTCTATCTACGTAAAAATAAGTGTCTCCAAGCAGCATGGTGACAAAACTAATCCGATAGCACCTGCAGCTGGCCAAGCTCAAAGGAAAGACCCTAACTCTGCCTAGAGATAAGGAAGCTGAAAATGCCCGTGGGAAAAGCTGCTGATCCAGACTCTACACACAACCACTGAGGGGGGAAGACTTAAATCTGGCCAGTAAATCTTCACCTGGTGTCACAGAAACGAGAAGAGTGCCATCATATCAATGAAGGCATGTCTCAGTTTAAGGAAACTGGTGTATGAAGTGTAACGTAATGAATTGGAAGACTAGGACTACGGGATATTTTTATATCACGAAACGTCATGTATCCCAGCGTAAAAATGGTAGCACCTGCTGGTGAGGCGGGGTAATGCAGCCAAAGTCCTGCCGACCCAGACAAAAAGCAGAAAAGAGATTTGCGGGTCTGCGGGTGTGTACTTAGTGAATCCTCAGGCATGGAACGTGGCATGGAAGGTCAAGACTGCTGCTCAAAGAGACTCCTGCAGCTGGAAAACGAAAATCACGTTCTGCTCACCACCCACACCACTAACGTGCAACCACCTTAGTCGTAGTAACTCATTCTTTTCGTATCTCCTTCCTTTACTGAGGATTTTCTCTTGGGAAAGCATTTCCCTAATATTATAATGAAATCTGCGGGAAAAGTAGAATTTGCTTCACAGAATCTGTTTGCTCCGAGTCGGAACTTTGGAGATGTTTTCATAGGCTCAGCTGCTTCCAGGAGAACAGTGTCTTCCCGTAGCTGCTGATTTCTTGTAAACTCAAGTCAGCTGTCTTAACTCTGGGCATGGATACCACAGCAAGTGCTCATGGACAGAAAAAGAAAAGCTACACCTCCTGTTACCTACCTCTGCTTAGAAAATGAACCTCGTTTCCCTAACCGGTCATCTAACGATGGTCCTAATAAAGATCTGTGGTCATTCAAAGGAGGAAAAGAACAACTCTGGCTAGGTGAATACAGGAAATTTTACTTAAATTACTCTTACACTTGATATATATAGAGAGAGCTGCAGAAATGAGGCAAAGCCAGATAAATCTCACAGTAACTTTTCTTGAGCCCAACAGAGTCACAAAGCAATCACTTGATACAGAGCAACCAACCCCTGTAGGTAGCAGCTAGGAGTGTGCAGCCTGAGGGGAATGAAGGCAGGGCCCTGGCCAGAACAGTCTAACCGAGAACTCAATACAGGAGTCTAGAAGCAAAAGGAAGTCATGTCTCACCGAGTGTCTCGTCAGTCCTGAGCTCGGTTTCAGAAGCTGGCTAGGTGTGCTGAGCATCACAAGCAAAAACAGCAGACAAAGGGGAGTCCTTGAGCCTGTGCTGAGAAGAGGGCCTCTGTAGCAATTTCACTAAGACAAAGAGCCTCTACTGACTGAGAAAGAAAGCTTTGGTAACTATACATTGTGCCCAAGATTTAGGAGGAGGAGGGGAACCTCCTCCTTCTGACTCAGCTGATTAAGGTATGTAACCCCTGAATCCCAATAGGCTGCATACTTAGATAGCTAAGAACTCACTTGTAGCCTCAGCTCAAGTGTACAGAACAAACTTACTAATAAACTCATTAACAACTTCATTTCCTCTATACATGGGGCATTTAGACTAGCCATGCCTGCTTGCAGCTTTGTGCTCATGTGTGTTTCATAAATAAACTTGCTATCTCATTTCCATTATGCACATTGTCTCTCGTTTGCATTTGTCTCTTGCGGAGGAAACAAACCAAGGTGGGGGCAGGGGCCTCCTGACTTGGGTCTCTCTCCTGCCTCTGGAACACCTTCAAGGAAAGAAGGGCCACAAGACTCTTGTCTGTGGCAGGGCCCGGAAAGGAGGGGCCACCACCATACCAGCTGGTGAGGTGTCATCAGCTAGAATCTCAACATGCGGTTGAAGGCCAAATGTGGGCTGTCAATCTGGAAGAGCCTGGGGCTCCACCCCAGGAGAGTGCGACTCACGGCACTTTTCCACGGGCCTCACGTGAGAGACAGGGATCTCCACCAATGCCACCCAGAGGTCTCCTACCTCGGGCAGAGGTGGGAAACACCTGTTCAAGGCCGACCTCCGACAGGAGGCAGTTTGGCTGCCAGAGGACAAGCAGCGGGAACACTGGGCAAGCATCACCCCAGGCCCAGGGGCCCAGGCTGGCCCAGAGAACCCCGTTCCCTGACTGCAGCCCAGTACCAAGTCACAAACAGCGGGCTGCCCCTGAGTGAGGAGTAAGAGTGTGGGGAGAGCCCTCTGTGGTGCAGGTTGGCAGAGAACCTCCCTGGACCCAGCCCAGGGTCACAGCAGCCCACTCCTTAAGGAACGCGAGGCCTGTGGTCCCATGAGGGTAAGGATCACCACCGCAGACCACGCCCAGCTTCTGACTGGACTGCCCTCCTCGCGGTGACACCAACTCGGGGCCTTCTGCTGTGACTCTGTTTCTCCGGGTGTTCAGTTCCCCAGCGATTTACTCACCAGGAGTCTTCCGGAGCCCAGCCCACCTAGGGACTGGATTACTGCTGCTCCCACATTGCCTGCGGGGACCTCCCTGATACACCACTAACATCACACTTTTAGCGACTCTGGAAAGGCCCACTTGCCTTTTTAACAGTGTCTGCCTGGCAGGGGTGTGGTAGCTATAATTACAAATACAAGGTCGTTCCCCACTTCTGCTTTTGCCTCTCTAAGTCCCCTATTAACGGTCATTCTGGAAAGGTAAAGCACTGTGTAATTATCAATCATTAACAACTCTTTGGGGAATCTGTGATACCGCTTCCTTCCCTGAGAAGTCTTCACAGTGAAGTGAGTGTGAGAAGTTCCGGGTGTCTGTCTGTCCGAGCTGCGTGACCCAGGCCAAGTCAGCAGCCTGAGCTTCAGCCTCTTCATCTGGAAAGTGGGGGTGATAATCCTGACCTCACTGAGTTTTTGTGCAGATTAAGTGGAACCATTCCTCTCAAAGTATCTTACAAACTGTAAATCTGATAAATGGAGAGTGACTTGATCTAGATAAAAAGTAAAAAGTTTTGAAATGGGATATCAAATTAAAAATTAGAAACCTCATATCTTTAATTCAGCTTTGATTAAAATTAAATTGGCTACTTCCTAAACTGGGTGATAAAATGCAGGGTGTATTTTCTCATGTATAACATATGTGTATATACATATATAATACACGCACATATATACATGTCATAGTATTTTGAGTATATTTCATAATTCTAAAAAATTGAGATCAGATGCCTTATTATGTCTTAAGTCTTAAAACTGTGTTTTGGAAAATGCAAAGCACTATATTAACCATGGCTTTTAGAATACATGAGAGAATATTAACAAATATATGAATACTAGTTGCACATATATAGAACTTATATTGATATGGAGTTGCTATCACTGTCTGTTTATTAAGAAAGGTAAAGAGCTCTTCTCTAGTCATTTAAGATAGCAATCCCAAAGATTGTTGACTTGTTACCTGAAAATCATGTTTGTGCCAAAAACTATTTCTTAAAACTTGTCAACTAGATTTGCTACAGGTTGATCTTTCTTATCAGCCTTATGAAGATTGACCCAGTATGACTTCAATGATCTGGTTCTACTTAACCAAACAACAAAAACCTGCACAGGCACTGCTCCCTGTCCAAAGCACACGTATTCTTTCTAGATGTGATGAAGTAACTGGTTACAAGTTGCTGCAGAACCCTGATACTGACAGTCCACAGAACTGATAACAGAAGTTCAAGCACATGGTATTTCTTGGAGTAGGCAGAACTCACATGAAGACTTGGGGTGCTGGGGAAGTAATTGTCAGGGAAAATTAAGAATAAAGGCATATTCTGGGACTAAGGAAACCTGTAAGGTGTCAAAAACAAGAGAGGAAGAAGCAGGACATACGAGGATATAGGAGAGGAGACAGGAGATAAAGACTGGAGGTGAGAATTTGGAGTATGAGGTCTGTCCAGAGAAAGTCCAGCCACTGTTAATATAATGAGAACGGTTTGCACAACATCAGTGTAACCTGGCAGCCAAGGAGAGTGAACTGGAATGCACATGTATGAACAATGATGACTTCACTGTACTAGTCAGTGGGGGTGGTAAACACAACTGAGTAAGCATGTGTACTGTGTGGCTGTCACATTCAAAGTGACTGAGAGTAGAGCAATGAATATGCATCACATTTTGCCTTAAGCTTGATATCTTCCAAAGGAACTACTCAGATGACTCAGAAGGCTACAGCTATGGGAAACTGGTGACTGGCAGCTTCCTCATGACAACACGCTTGCTCATGCATCATGTCTCCTTCAGAAACATCAAATCATCCAGGTGACTCAGTCCTTCTACAGCCCTGATTTGGCACCCTGTGACTTCTGGCTTTTCCCCAAAACTAAAATCACCTTTGAAAGGGAAGAGATTTCAGACCATGAGTAAGATTTAGGAAAATATGAGGGGGCAGCTGATGGCGACTGGGAGAACTGTGTGAGATCCCAAGGTGCCTACTTTGAAGGGGACTGAGGCATCACTGTCCTATGTACAGTGTTTCTTGTATCTTCAATAAGTGTCTCTATTTTTCATAGTACATGACTGGATATCTTCCGCAGAGACCTCATAGGTTTGGTATGTATAATTTTTAAGAGCTTTAAAAAAGGATACCAACGGTTGTGTTAAACCAACTGAAATGAGGCATACCAGAGACTACATAAAGTAGGCACTCCATTTCTTTTCTCCTTCCTCTCTTCTCTTCCTTCCCCAATCAATAGCTTCTATTATTTGACAGACACTGAGGAGTCAAAGGTG